GCGCCCTGAGAAGAAGAGTCGGTGGCCCGCGGGGGCGGGACCTGCTGTCTCTCCGTTGGTGCGGTTCAGAGATAGACGCCTTGAAATCCTCGGACCACTTTTTTTAAACGTAAAAGTTAGAATTGTTGACTCAATCATTAACTGGATTAAGGCCGAGAACATCCACCTGCCATTTGACATGTGTGAAAATTATTTGTATACTGAACCTCTGTGACTCCTTTAGCTGTATATTTTATACATCCCAGAAATCAGAAACACGATTGTCCCTATTTAGCAGCCAATACTCCACCAAAATGCCTGTAAAACTATATCGTGTCGTCAAAAGGATAGGGAAAGAGCCTAATACAAGTAGCACTGAAATAAGTTTTCAAGCCTGTGCTACTTTGAATGTAATACAGTAATGTACATCTTCGCCATCTTGGTTGATGACAAGGCATCCTTCCAGTTGCTCAGGCCACAAACTTTGGAGTCATCTTTGGCTCCTCTCGTACATTCATTTTCACCTCCAATTTGTCAAGAAAGTTTGTTGGCTGTACCTTCAAAATGAATCAGTATCTGACTACTCACCTCTATTTCTTCCATCATTCCCAGCCTCAATCATACTTCGACGGCCTATTAAATGGTCACCCTACCTACAGTCAGCTCAGTTTATTGTGAAACAATAGCCAGAATATGCTCTTACAAGGAAAGTCAGCTCATGTCTCATCTGACCAAAATTCACCAGTGGCTCCCTATTCCACTCACTGTAAAAACTAAAGGTTTCTGCAATGGCCTACAAAATCCCTGGATTTGTCTTTTTCCTTTACGTTTCTGATTCCATCTCCAACCACTCATTGTTGCTTAAATTTTCCAGACAGACTGCTCACGGCCTGGAACATTCTTCCCTCAATGTCCACCTTCACTTTCAACTCCTTGCTCAAATCTCACCTTAATGAGACTTTGCTTGACCACGGTATTTTAAATTGCAACAGCCCCACCCCAATTTTCAGTCCTTCCTATCTTGCTTTTTCTTTGCTTCCCATACTTCACCCTTCACCCATCTTTATAATTTATTTCATATGTTTGTCTTTCCATGTCTGTGTTCTCCAGTAGAAGCTGGGATTTTTATCTGGTTTCTTTTTTTTTTTCCCCAACAAATATATCCCAAGTGTTTAGACTAAATGAAAATTTTTTTAATTCCCTGAGATCATAAAAAATGTAAAACTACAAAAAAATGACAATTTTCTATTTTAAATTTCTTCTTGGTTCCAATTTCTATCAGCCAGAAGGTCCCTCTCTAAATCAAACTGATTTTCTGATTTTCCAGTTACTCTGAGTACAGTGATAACCATTTTCTTGACATTTAATGCAATTTTTTGACCAATGATATCCTAGTACCTTATT